TGCATCACCGCATGGACCCAACAAATCTTCATGCCAAATTTGGTTAAGATACATCAAGAGGAGGCGAAGTAGTGATAACAAACGTCCATAAAAACTGAAAAACGAAAAACTGAAATTGTGTATGTATCCCCGCTTGGATCTAAAGAGACTCCATACCAAATTTGGTGAAGATCCATCCACACCCTGCGAAGTAGTTACATGTACATACAACAGACAGTACTATTATATTTATATAGATATAACTGTTCTTCTCGGTATAATAGAATCAGGAAAATGGAGAAAAAGAACAAAAAATGACGAACCACATTTACCTCCATTACGTACTTTCCTGGAAGTAAGATTCTCCAGTATTCTCCTCTCCTAGTGGAGTGAAAGCCGATGTTACGGCCTTTAATTTTAAGACTGGCTTTAGAAATAGGATTGTTGTTGGGATCTCGAACTAAGCCACGAACACCTACAAAAGGTGAAACAGTATTTATAAATTAATGTATTTTACAAATTGAATTTTAGGATCGGTTCTGAAATAGGATTGTTGTTAGGATTTCAAATCCAGCTATAGCTAAAGTTAAAACAAGTCGAGTTAAACAAACGGCGTATTTCGATACCTTCCACAATGCTAAGAAAATGTCAAATGTGTTACAATTAAAAAGATCTATTGAAACCGCGTGTAGGTATGTGACATTCGTATATATATACAATCTGGCAAAACATGACAACTTAAAGGCTATTCAGTGTGATACATACGACAACATTCGTTAACAACTGAGTCATAAGAGGAGATGTTTTACTCTGTGAAGAAGAAGAAGAGAGATGAAATAAAAACAAACCTTGATGAACCTCGCCCAGAAACCTTAGCAATGATTTCTTATTATTCAACCAATATCGTGGCAGCTCTGAGACATACGGGTATTTACAGCACGAGATTTCAAATGTCACCTCCATGCAACCTCCCCAAACATAGTTGTAGTCTTGCATGCCACCTAGCGGTTATAAGTATAATTAAAATATTTAATTAATAATAATAATCAAGTCTATCGTTTTTAGTAGATGATACATATTTGATTAAAATATTTTCCCAGGAAGTATTAAGTCCGATACATCAACTGATAAACAAATTAAGTAAGATCAACCTTCAAAAGAAGTTAAGCCTAACGTTTACATAACGGCTGTAAATTTGTCAAGAACAATTAAATTTTCTCGCTAACCACATATATTACATTTTTTTTCATTATATATTTAAGCCTATATTTTACTAAAGTCGGCATGCCTATACCATAGACAATAGTTTGTTTATTTGAATTTCGCGCAAAGCTACACGAGGGCTATCTGCACTAGCCATCCCTAATTTAGCAGTGTAAGACAAGAGGGAAAGCAGCTAGTCATCACCACCCACCGCCAACTCTTGGGCTACTATTTTACCAACGAATAGTGGGATTGATCGTCACATTATAACGCCCCCACGGCTGAAAGGGTGAGCATGTTTGGCGGGACGGTGTATTCGAACCCGCGACCCTCAGATTGCAATCCGAGCGCCCTAACCACCTGGCCATGCCGGGCCAAAACCATAGACAAACGAAATTTGTTAAAATTACCTATCTACAATAGTAATAAATAAAATAAAAAACACGTCTAAGTTGTCTCAAACCTTGTCAACAGCACTCCTTCGTTTTCTATTTTCCGCTGAGCAGATATTCCGAATCTCAATTCCTGCGGCTGTCCAATGACAGATTAGGTTAAGAAAACGTAAGAGAGATCGAGGGAACATTGAACCGTATGAACTGACAACGTATTATACTCGTTACTTGCCACGATGCTAAGAAAGATTGAAACAACTGTTGGTTATCTGACGATGAACCTTGTGTAAAATGACAAACCTTGCATATTAAACTCGCACTGAGGGACTGGGACAATTTAATATTCTTACTGTTTCTGGTAAGAGAGAAGGGGGCTAAGTACTGAGACGGCTGATACATCTAAGCACTAACAATACAGTGTTCTACTTGCCATCACATTGTTAACGTTTTTAAGCATAGAAATGATCCTTATCTCTTTAACAATAAACACTTTAAAGAGGGCGCTGAGTTCACTATAATCTGGATACTTGAAAAGGAGGATTGGCAGGATGAGTATTTTCCCTCTGTTTTTCAACCCCCCCCCCCTCAACTTATATTTCTTAGATAGTTTGATTTGTCATGAAATATTATATGAAGATACTTTTTGAATTTGGCATTATTGTAAAGGATGAGGAAATCCTGGCGTTGTTTTATATTCTTTCAGTAATAATTTTTTTCTCAGAAATACTACTGTAAAAAAAAAAAGTTTAAAATGTTCAAATAACATCATAATCTTCATAAAATTATCTTAAATATGGACTTTTCAAAAACAGCGCCTTCTCCAGACAAAATGGTCTTCCTATGGGTCAGGGGTAAGTTCATGGACTCACAAAGCTAAAATCCATGGTTCGATTTCCCGCGATGAACAGGCATAGATAGCCTATTGTGTGGCTTTTTTTTTTTTTCAACCACACTATACCTGATACCTCCAGTGTCGACTAGGTCTTTCCCCTAATACTAAGGCTCTTCAGTCCAGCTGGGAGACGACAGACACAGTAACGGTGGAGATGCCTAAATATTTTCTACTACTTAGATCAACTTCCGGGGTTTTAGCTGAACAATGTGACGGTGGACTTCTATTTTTAACACTATAAAAAAGGACAATTAGTAAATTGTTTGTTTTTTTCTACTAGGAAGTCTTTTGGCTTAGGATTCCAATAACTGAACTTGAAATTAATAGCTCTCTGTTGGCGGCAAGGATTAGTAATATGTTGAAATCAAGTCTCCTTTCAGGTGGTGGGAAGAGAACTAATGCTTAACCTAATGATGCATCTGGTGAATAATTACCACACTAATGACTTCGTTCGCTGGATCATGGATAACACAAGGGTACATATTATGCCATCCATGAACCCTGACGGATTCGAAGTTTCAAAAGAAGGCAGCTGTACAGATGTTCAAGGAAGGTGAGAAGGGAGGCTGTGAAGGCTTACCATTCTTATTTTATAAAAAAACACAAGGCATACGAAAATACTGTATTAATTAAAAGAAAATACGTTGTGAAGACCTAACATGCTTGCTTGCTTGTTGTTGTTGTTTTTGGACAGTACACAAAGCTTGGCGTCCTAAGAGACGGGATTTGAACCTAAAACAGACTTTCGTTCTCACAGTGCTCAAAGTTAGGCGTCAGGAGCTTTGGTATTTATGTCCTGAATATTGACTGGCAGTGATCATTAGAGTTTTACGAAGATAAACAACAAGAGAAATGAGTTCTGTGCATAAGGCGTGACTTTGTATTATACTCATGAATACATATATTTGGTGTTTTTAATTATTAATTGATGAATTAAGAGGCGAAAAAAAAGATAATTTATTACAGCATGTTTTTCATACCTTTAAACTCTTGTTAATTCCACATTTTCTCACCAGTCTAAACTCTTGTTAATTCCACATTTTCTCACCAGTCTAAACTCTTGTTAATTCCACATTTTCTCACCAGTCTAAACTCTTGTTAATTCCACATTTTCCCACCAGTCTAAACTATTGTTAATTCCACATTTTCTCACCAGTCTAAACTCTTGTTAATTTCAAATTTCCCCCCCCCCCCATTCATACACATGGATTTATGCCATATTCAAACAACGTTGCGTTTATTTTCGAGAATTATAAATATAGAAAATTAATACAAATAATTACCAAATCATCCGTGAATGTGAAATGATGTAATGTATTTATTACGTTCGACATTGTTAAGCAGTGTAAACTTTTATGTATATAGTAAAAACAAAAAACACCCAATAAATTGAAGGATACTAATGCAACTGAATCACCATCTTGTTTTTTTTTTTGTCTAGATATGATATGAAATTCATTAATTGATATACTTCTGTCTAGATACAACGCTCTAGGGTTTGATCTCAATCGAAATTTTCCAGACTACTTCAAAACAAACGATTTAAATGAACAGCCAGAGACTAAAGCGGTTCGAGAATGGATTAATAAAATTCAGTTTGTTTTATCCGGAAATATCCATGGGGGCGCTCTAGTCGCCAGTTACCCGTTTGACAATACTCCAAACTCAAGTAAGAAATGCTAAAGTTTCAGAGAACAAAAAAAAGTGACCGTAAAATCTATTTGTATTAATTTTTGAAATATACATATATATGTTGTTTTTTTTTAGAATGGATATAGTGGCGTTATTAAAGCATATCGCTAAAATATACGTTGTTTTTATATTAATTTCATCTGTCTTCTATTTCCATGTTTTCTTATACGTTTTTAAGTTAAAAAGAGTGTGATTTTGTGTGTTTTCTGTATTTCTTTCTATGTTTGTGTGTTTTAATGTTAAATTTATGTTTTTCTGTGTTCCTTCCGGTTTTGTCTCTATTTTTTGTATGCTTTGTGTACGATTGCTTCTCTTCGAGTTGTTTATTTTGTATTTTTTGCGCTATGTTTCTCTATTAACGTGTTTCTATGAGATAATTAATAAGTTCGTCTTTGAAATATTTCACAATTCTAATCTAAAATTATTTTATGCTTAGTTTTTCAGTCTCTCAGTAGTCCATCCCTCACACCCGATGATGACGTGTTTCGCCATCTAGCAGAAGTTTACTCATTCAATCATGAGACCATGCATTTAGGCTTACCATGTTCAACTGGTACTCGTGGTTTTAAAAACGGAACTACTAATGGTGCAGCTTGGTATCCATTAACAGGCAAGAAAATTGTTGAACACATTTTTTAAATATTTATGAAATAATACTGTAGTTTAAGCAAAATTAAATTTTAATAAGGGAATAAATCGTTTAGCCGTTCATTGTTGTTTGTCGACTAATCACGACGGCTTAACTGTGGAGTTTTAAAAAGTTCTCGCTTTTGTCCGTCCATTTTAGGTTTGTTTTTATCACTGTAGAGAAAGTAAAAAAACCGAAAACACAAGACCCTTATTTTGACGAGTTACAACACAAGGTCTAGCGCCAGAAAACCAACAGTTTTCAACTATGATCAACAGAAGAGTTGCCCTCTCCCAACGTCATAAACATCCGCTCCAAAAAAAAGTGCACTTTGTAGCACTCTGTCTCTGAAGCCTATCTACTTTTTTAAAGCCATAACTTTTCATATTTTTGGCCTAGACCAAAACGTACTTATCTGTAAGCGTACGATCACTAGTATTGTCGAATTGTTAGTTGAAATTTGGACGCTCGTGCCCTAGTTTGTCAACCTCTGCAATTGATTACCAAAAAAGGGTTCCCAAGATCAATGAACAAAAGTCGGTGTGAGATAATCTCGCTGAATTACAGAAAAAAAAAGGAATTTTTGAACACCAAACAGAAACAAAATATTGAATATTTATATTTTGCCAGATTGGTTTGTTTCAAATATTGGGTCTACCGCTGGGGGAATCGAACCCCGGATTTCAGCATTGTAAGTCCATATACTTACCGCTGCCCAACCTGGAGATTTTTTGTTTCATATTATAATACACTTATTTACTTTCATTTGGAAATTGTTATTAATAATAAGAGTAGACGTTTAAAGAAGTAAAACAGGGCTAGTGTTGGCATCAACCCGGAAGTTGTAGAAAGCAGTAAAATCAGTCTAGTGTTGGCATCAGACCGGAAGTTAAAGTAAGTGGTAGAACAAATCTAGTGTTGGCATCAGACCGGAAGTTAAAGTAAGTGGTAGAACAAATCTAGTGTTGGCATCAAACCGGAAGTTAAAGTAAGTAGTAGAACAAATCTAGTGTTGGCATCAAACCGGAAGTTAAAGTAAGTAGTAGAACAAATTAGTGTTGGCATCAGACCGGAAGTTAAAGTAAGTAGTAGAACAAGGCTAGTGTTGGCATCAAACCGGAAGTTAAAGTAAGTGGTAGAACAAATCTAGTGTTGGCATCAAACCGGAAGTTGTAGAAAGCAGTAAAATTAATCTAACGTTGGCGTCAAACTGGAAGTTGTAGAAAGCAGTAAAATCAGTCTAGTGTTGGCGTCAAACCGGAAGTTAAAGTAAGTAGTAGAACAAGGCTAGTGTTGGCATCAAACCGGAAGTTAAAGTAAGTGGTAGAACAAATCTAGTGTTGGCATTAGACCGGAAGTTAAAGTAAGTGGTAGAACAAATCTAGTGTTGGCATCAGACCGGAAGTTAAAGTAAGTGGTAGAACAAATCTAGTGTTGGCATTAGACCGGAAGTTAAAGTAAGTGGTAGAACAAATCTAGTGTTGGTATGAATTACTTCTCTTAATTTCAGCTTTTAGTGGTTAGGAAAATAAATCAAAGTCGTTTGGTTCGTAAACAGACGTAGACAAAATTAACAATGAACTTAAAAGTTTATCTTTGGTGAATGACAGAAGAGAAAATAAATATTATGATGTATAACACCCAAGATAGCAAGGTGAAATCTTTCATTTGATAGTAAGTGTTATTTTACGTGACAGTAAAGCTGATAATATATTTTATGGTCTATAACACCAAGCTGGCAGAATGTGAACCCTAAATTTTATGGTGTATAGCACCAAGCTGGTAGAGTGTGAACCCTAAATTTTATGGTGTATAGCACCAAGCTGGTAGAGTGTGAACCCTAAATTTTATGGTGTATAGCACCAAGCTGGTAGAGTGTGAACCCTAAATTTTATGGTGTAAAGCACCAAGCTGGTAGAGTGTGAACCCTAAATTTTATGGTGTAAAGCACCAAGCTAGCAGAGTGTGAACCCTAAATTTTATGGTGTATAACACCAAGCTGGCAGAGTGTGAACCCTAAATTTTATGGTGTATAGCACCAAGCTGGCAGAGTGTGAACCCCTAAGTGTGTTATTAAGTATGATATTACGATGTAATAAAACTTACAATAATTTCTTGTCGTGATTAAAGAATATCAATTGAACGTAAACATTTGTTCTGAGATCGGATTCACGTTTTAATTTTTACTTCTGTAAATTATTCATTTTTATTTCCGTTTTCTACTTCCAGGGAGAGAGCTGTGGGTCGTCATAGTTTCCAAGACCCCTCATGAAGAACCGTTACTTAAGCCTAATGTTAAATACGTTGCTAACATGCATGGAAATGAGGTAAAAGTTCAGAGAGTCATTAATAATTCTTAGAGATTTTTAATATTTAAACTGTAACTTTTTACCGGTCCTGATATAACTAACTTTACAACTTTAGGTAAAACTAAATATGTCTAGATTTTATGTCCAGTCTTTAAAAAATCAGACCTTACTTTATGGTATTAAATTAAAGATGACAAACTTCTGGTTTTTCGTAATGTCATGGCGGTTGCAGAGACAACATAAACATTCTGTCGGAAGTGTTGGTTAGATCTTTCCTAGTTGCGTCATCGGTTTCTAGTCTAAATAAACACCAGTACCCAATCTCTCGTTCTTCATAATTCAACTCATCATTTGATGCCAACACTAGGTTTGTTCTACTACTTACTTTAACTTCCGGTTTGATGCCAACACTAGATTTGTTCTACCACTTACTTTAACTCCCGGTTTGATGTTTTATCTGGACTTTTTAAACGATTACATTAGTCAACAGAATGTTCACTTCGTCTACTGTTATTAGTGATATACCGTGACACACAAAACTGTGTTGTTGTTTTTTTATCTGGACTTTTTAAACGATTACATTAGTCAACAGAATGTTCACTTCGTCTACTGTTATTAGTGATATACCGTGACACACAAAACTGTGTTGTTGTTGTTGTTTTATCAAATATTTATCTTAATAATTTCCAATTAGTAACGACTAAGCACACCAGGGGTAAGTTCTTTACAACCAGTTAATTCGATATTGTTGTTATAAACGCTTTTAAACTGCCGTGCGGGTTTACAATATTTGTGCAAGTGAGAAAGACACACTTTGTAAATATTTGTTTTTGTTTGTTTTTATAGTTGAGCACAAAGCTACACATTGGGCTATCTGTGTTCTGCCCAACCACGGGTATCGTATCGAAAAAACACAGAGAGTTCTAAAAATAGAAAAGCGAGACGAGGGCATGAGGTTGTTAGCTTCTGTGGTACATGTTTTGGAGTTAGCTACAAATGCGATGATGGGAATTTCCAACATAAATAAATACAAAAAAAAAACGTGTCTCGTTGAAGGAATGTAACCGATATATATATATAACAACTAACTAAATCAAAAAATTCCACAACGTTATGTTTGTATGATACGGTAACATCAGTCCTGGTAATGGGTAAAACCAAATTATTTCCATCAGATATAATGGTTACTTATCTCATAATGCCGAGGCTGTTACCATATTCCACTAGACACCATGATAAACAACGGATAAAAATAGCGTTCCAGCTAATATTTTTAGTATGTTTCGACTCTGTCGGCCTAATAAACTGTAATTTTGATCAAAACGCCTTGTTGCCAGGGGGTAAACAACATGCGATTCATATCTTACTCTAGTTGCCAAGTAACGGATCCAGGCTAGCCGACAGGGGGCGGGAGGTAGGGGGGGGTAGCAAAGGGGGGCATTGCTCAGGGGACCCGGGCGAATGAAACCTGGTTATGCCGTAAAGCGCAAACCATCTTTAGGCTATATCTTCATTTAATTATAAAAACCATAGTTTTTGGCTTTTCTTTGCATATAGACGCTTGATACTTTAAGAACTACTGAAATAATAATTTGAGTAATAATTAATATGTATTTGTTACTTTATAGATTTAATGGATATTTGTTGTTACTTTATTACCGTTTTGACGCGTAATCAGTATGTTTATAAATATACGTTACCATTCTATAAGCTTCACAATTAGCAACAGATGGCTAGAGTGACCACGATCCTATTCTGCAGTCACGCTATCGAGTAGGGGTTCCCATCTGTATGAAACTGGCGATGCATATCTTCATAACCCAAATACATTATCTTGCGCTTGTGTAATTAGAGGTCATTTGCCAAATATCTGTGCCAATAACCAGTTTATCCGGTTATTATGTAATTCATCAACATCTTCAATACAATATCCAAAATTTTACTGTCATCTGTAAACTTTACTAG